TCAATAATCCATGCAAAAAAAATTTTGTATGGATTATTTACTGATAGTCAAATTTTATCTGTAAAAGAAACTTTTACTGATGGATTTTTAATACCGTCAAAATATACCACACTTATACCAATACTTTATTTAACTATCGATATAAATAAACTTTTTCTGATGTTATATGACTATCCCTCATTATAAATATGTTATATACTAACAGTTATTAATGTAACCATCAATATAGGCTTAAAAAAAACTATTGGCTTGCAAAAAATTGAATGGGATTATTGAAGTCATTTTTTATAAAAAATGCCTTCAATAACTCATTTAAAAAATTTTGGAGATGGATTATTAAAGGTATTTTGGGCTAGAAACGCCCTGAATAATCCCTTACAAAAAATTGAATAGGATTATTCAAGGCGTTTTTGGTAAAAAATACCTTGAATAATCCGTTAACAAAAATATTATAGCAGTTTAGTCGGTTAGAGCATACGACTATTAACCATAAGTTCGATCATTCCCTTTAGCATTTTGAGAATTTTTCAAAGGATTATTGAAAGCGTTTTTGGCTAAAAACATTACCTTGAATAATCTCCTTCAATTTTTATAAGAAAATTATTCAATGCATATTTGGCCAAAAATGCTTTGAATAATCTGTTAACAAAAACATTGGAGTAGCTCAGTTGGTTAGAGCATATAATTATTAATCGTAAAGTCGTAGATTCAATCCCTCCCTCTAGCATTTTGAAAGTTTTCTAATTAAATTATTCAAGGCATTTTTAGCCTTACATAGGTTCGATCCCTCCCTCTAACATTTTGAGGGTTTTTCAATCGAATTATTCAAAGCATTTTTGGCTAAAAATACTTTCAATAATCTCTTGAAAAGTCTCAAAATACTAAAGGGAGGGATAAAACTTATGACCTTATGGTAATAACTATATACTCTAGCCGACTGAGCTATTCTAGTGTTTTTGTTAACAAATTATTTATGACATTTTTTTATCAAAAATGCCTTGAATAATCCTATTAAATTTTTTATAAGGGATTATTCAAGGGATTATTCAAGTATTTTTGGCTAAAAACACCTTGAATAACCTTACTGAATTTTTTGCAATGGATTATTAAAAGCGTTTTTGGCAAAAAAACATTCAATAATTATCTCAACAAATTTTAGAAGGGTAAAAACTCCTTCATAAAAATTTATTGAGTGGATTATTCAAGATATTTTTTGAGAGTTTTTTGCCCTTCCAAAATTTGTTAAAGTGATTATTGATTTATTTTTAGCCAGAAATGCTTTTAATAATCCATTCCATAAACTTCTTGAATAATCCCATTGAATTTTTTGTAAGAAATTATTCAAGACGTTTTTGACAAAAAACGTTGAATAATCCAAAAAAAAGGGTAGGCTTATGAATTTAAATCATTTTATTTACCTTTACCTCTCATCGACTCTATATACTTAATCTTCACTTTCTACCAACTCTCTCCACCTCTTACCAACTTTACAAACTTAAACCCATCGACACCCATTTTGTTTTAGAGCTGAATCAAAATTGAAGTATCAAAACTCTCATCATTTCTCAAAGGTATTTTTTATTTTTTGCATTTCAATTTTGTGTCATCGAACATGCCTTTTTTTGTATTTTTGGCTGTAATGAATGAATCTAGTCTCAGTCTTTATCCTTTCGAAAAGTAGAAAATGGCCTAAAAATGTTATTAGCGGCACTATTTTTGTTAATGAAACAACTTCAATAGGAAAAACAAATAAAAACTTCATCTGTTCTACTGTGAATTGGTGATCTCTTGATAAATGTGACTATGAAACATGTAGCTAGGGAAGAACTTCTCTTTTTAATCTAGTAAGCAACTATCATTAGGTGTCTTAGATAAAAACATCATAGAAAAAAATCATTCTTTCTTAAATTTTAATGCTTGCTTCACTTTTACAAGAAATTTTTAAATAACAATTTGGTTAATCAGAAAATGAGGCATTAGAACAAGAGTTGCAGTAGATCAATATGCATCTGATGTGAACAATCTTTAAAATATTGTTCAAAATATATATAGAGGATTTGAAGTTCAACCATTAGTAATAGCACTAGGAAAATTCTTTGATGCAAACTTCAAGTACCATATTTGTAGACATTCAATCATAGATATTAAAGTTCTTTTTTTTTAGATTTGGTACAATGATGTTAGTTCTTAACTTATTTTAAATTTGTGAATTATAAAACAATTTGATTGTTGTTTTATTTCAAATGTTATTAAATATTTTTACTTTTTTGTGTTTTTTTATTTTATATGAAACCATATCATATTATGATTATAAATAAATTAATATTAATAATTAAAAATATAATTCAAAAAAAAAGTTTTTACCAATGCCTTAAAATTTATACTGATACGTTTTACTATTAAAATATTTTAAGCTATATTGACAATCTATACTGATGAGCATTAACTGTTAGTATAGGTAAGATAAATTAACACATAAAAGTCTATACTAATAAGTGTTAACCGTCAGTAAAAGATATAACGATTTAGCAAACAACAAATGTCATACCAACAGATATATATTTATTGACGATCTTGAACCGTAGGTATATCTCTGTAAGCTATTCTAATACCTTAAAAACTATTAGTATATGTCTATATTAACAAGGGATATACTGACGGTTAAAAATTTATCGAAATGCACATTTTGACCATTGAAATAGGGTTTATGGTGCTATACTAACGGATTTTAAGGTTTTACCGATGCTTTTTTTAGTGTCACGATATATTAGATTGCTTGTAAAGCATCTTCCAACAACTTCTTCATAATAGAATCAATGGCATAAACCAAGTTATTGAATATGAGTAAATCATCAAAATTAGGGCATCAAATTAGGTATGTGCAACTCTAGTACAGATTTAAGATGAAATAAGAGCTGAACTTCAGTCACTGAAAGTGAAAAAAACAAATAAATTATAAATTTAATTTGTTTCATGCAATTACCTCTTTCTTGTTCTTATAGACTTGAGCACAATTGGTATATCGGTGTCTATGCGCATGAAACAAAGCAATTGTTAAACAAACGATGATCACAGTAACAAATGGCGGTAAGATGACAATCGTTGGAGTGAAAAGTGAAAATTAAGGTTTTAGGGGAAAATGAGAAGATAAAATCTGATTTAAGAAAAAGATTTTGAATTTGATTGGAGAAAACAAAATGTTTTGGGATTTTAGAGAAAGAAGGGAGAGAAAGTTATGAGTTTTTACTTTTAACTGACTGATGAGGACTGATGTGGATGAAGTGATAAGAACATCAAGAGATTTAAGAGTAATGGGGTGACAAGTAAATGTAAAATAAATAGGGGTAAAAAATATTATATACAAAGGCAAATATGGCTTTTGTCCCTAAAAATTACATTTTAGAGGTAAAAATTTTATGTCTCTAATAATAAGTTGTGTTATAATGAGATTGACACAAATCACTTTTTTTAATTAATTTTTTAAAATTTATATATTTTAAAAGATATTTATCATATATATTTTTAGTCCTATTTGTGAAATGTAAAAATTTCACTATGTGATAAAGTTATCTTGAAAGATTTAAACACACATTGATATCTTTTATTAGATGTTTATAAAACAACAATTTATTCTTATAATTTTTGAAAAAAATGTTATTATAATTAAAATTTTAAAAAGTTGCATGAGATAATATTGGTCCCATCTCTTTAACTTTTTTTCCTTATATTTTAGAAACCAAAATCATATCATATATAAATACCCCTTACATAATCATAGAGTTGGCAACCTAACTCGCTCCGATGAGTTTCGTTCCGACCTGATTTCATAAGATTAATTTTTTTTAAATGAGTTTTGGGTTGAGTCGGGTAATAATAGAAAAAAGTCGGGATCAGGTTTTGGGTAAATCGACCCGACATATATATAATTATTTTTTAATTTTTAATTATATATTTATTTAATTTTATATTTATATTAAAAAATAATATTTTATATTTAAAAAATATTTTATTAATTTCAGGTCACGTCGGATACGGTTTATACAATATCGGATCGGGTTAGGTTTGGGTATGAAAAAATAAAAAATTCTTTGGGTCGGATCGGGTTCAGAGTTAGTAAATATCCACCTCGACTTGATTCGTTGCCATCCCTACTACATGAATACATCATATTTCCATTTGAAAGCTTAAAAATAGAAAAAGAAAAAAAATTTACTATAAATAATTAATCAAGAAAAGACCAATTATTATTTTCCCAAAAAAGAAAATGATAAAATCAGAATTCATATATAGTAAGAGTATATTTTCTTAATCAGGCTTTGTCTTTCCATCTTAAGCTTATATCACGTGGTCCTTAATTCTGATTTCTGATCAGTAATTGACTTCAGTAGTTGGTGGGAAGAGATAATATAATATAATGAAAAATTAAAAATTAAAATCAATAACTAAAATAAATTTCAGTGAATGTACAAAATCTATGTAGAGGAATATGTCTTTAAAAATATTTGAAAAAAAAAAGTTAAGTTCAAATAAAACTTAAAATACCTCTTTGTATTATAAAAAATTTGAGCTGTAATTGGAAGTATTTTGAATCAAAGACAATTATTTCTTGCTTAATAATGGTCAATTCAGCAAGTAAATTGGTAAAAAAAAAAATTGTAATCATAAAATAGTAAAGAAATCAAGAGTAGTTAGGAACGCTCAAAGGAGTCGAGCATGTGATATTATGAGGTTCTCAGCTAAAGGGCTCCAGTATTTGATTGATGCATGCATGGGATCAATCAGACCTTGAATCTTAAAAAGGTAAACTATTTGTCACTTAATTTTGTGTGAATTTTTATTTTGATCATCTAAATATCGATCTAAATATGAAATCTATTAACGCTTGGATTAAGCTCTCACTTGAATTGATAGCGTATGGCTTCTTAACAACATTGAAATGAAGAGGGCAGCACAAAAGAAAAAGAAACAAAAGTTGGAAAATAAAAAGGGAAAAGCAAGCTTCAAAAAGACAGAGGATCCTCTCCCCAATGGGGCCATGGCCCTTGATCCTTCTTCCTCTCTCCCAACTCAAGTAGCAAGACAGAAAACCAGACCAGCCAATAGTCCCGGCCAAATCTTCCCTGAAAAACCAGTTCTGAATATCAATTTCATATCAAGAATTCCTTTAAAGTATATAACGCTCACTTTTTAGTTTCGTTTTTTCTTCTACCCAAGAAGAAGCTCTACCATACCTTTAATCCCCAAGACAAATTCCATTAGCATATTCCACCCAAAAACATACGTCGTTTAGCAAAGCTGAATTTCACTTTATTGTAAAAGCATAAGCATCTGGTACCCATTACCCACCGTTTGCACATTCTTCAACATACAAAAAAAAAAAAAAAACGAGAGAGAAAAACTTACAGGTTGGTAATGAAGTGGAACTTCCAATAAGATACTCATAACCCTGAACCGGATAGTGGTTATTGTAGCAATCTGTACTTGTGTTGAAACCATTGTTACATGCACAGACAAATGAATTACTAGGAGGAGAATATCCACAAATACCACCACTATCCTCACAAGTATTGCAATTGTTGTTCAAGTAATAATCATCAAACGCTCCATTTGTGTACTTCAATGTCACCCCATACTGCCATTTGCTAGGGTCTGTCGGAGAATCCTGGAAGGAGGCAATCGGTGCATACCCTAAGCATTTCATTGCATGTAGGTCCAACTCACCTTTGCTGTTAAAATCCGCTGGCGAGTACACGCAGCAGGTGTTGGTAGGCGGGAACAGTGGGAGGCCGAGGTTGATGACGGAAGGGCAAGCGTAGATAGAGTCGCAGAGGTGGGAGGAGGAAGGATCACAGACAGGAGAGCCCTTGATGGTGAGGGAAGACGTAGGGGAAGTGCATGAAAGGAGGAGGAAAACTGACGGACCTAGCTGGAAAGGGCTGGCCCAGTCAAGGCCCAAGTTGGGTGATTGTTGCATGGAGTTGCATGTGGACATGTAGGGTGGCGTGATGGTAAGGGTTAAATCTTTGTAAGATATGGAGGTGATCGGATAAGAGCCGGTGTGGGTTGTTAGCAGGAGCTGATTGGAGTTGCAGGTTACATAGGGTTGAAAGCGGGGTGAGCCGCAACCGTAGCCGGTGCCAAAGGGGTAATTAACCTGGAGAGAGCCACATGTGGACCGGCATCCTGAGTCTGAGGCTGATGAATTGTGCAATAGAGTGATCAAGAGGATGATGAAGGGAAGAGGAAGACTATCCATTCGCTTAAGCTTTTGATATGTAACTCCGTCAAAAAGACTAACAAAAATATTTTTTGATTTTGTTAAAATCATTTATAATTATTATTAAATTTTTAAATCGTATTAATTTCGTGTCTTATTTTTATATTATATTCATGTTATATTATCGTATCATATTTTAGATTATCAAATCTATTCAAATTAAAATTAACTAATTTTCAATATATAAAAAAAAAACTAGCCGGAACATCTCTGACTAATTAATTTTGCATTAAGGCTTGAAAGAAACATACTTGGTATATTTGTGGATTAATTGTGAACAAAGAATACTAATGTATTTTAACATTTGATTATGGTTAATATATATATATATATTGTTATTAAGAATATTCATAAGGAAACATTCCTCCATAGAAAATAAAAACATTTCTTCCTCTTAACCCGTATCCCCTCAATTAAAATTTATTAAGATATTTCGATAAATGTTAATTAATAACTGTAGATACAGATTTATTATTTAAAAAATTACATTTAATGTATTATTTTTATCTAATTTTAAAATATATTATCTTTGTTACTGTCAATAGTCAGTCGTTAACATTTTTTATAATTACTTTATACGTTTTTTTAATTTTATAAAAAGAATTCATTAAATAAATATTCATTATCTATATACCAAAAAAAATCATATATAAGCAATTTATAATTTAGATATATAATTAAGGTAAACTAATTGATATAATTAATAACCGATGACTTGATTTTTATGAAAATATATTTTTTATTATAATAGCTTACTTTAATAATTTTTAATTTAAAGTAACAAAATGACAAAATTTTGATATCAATCCGACGGTGGAAAATCTAGGTTGCAAAATGATACCAACCTACCAAGAAAATCAACGAATAAAAACTTTAAAATTGGAGTCGCTAACCTCATCCTTTACGGTTCCGCCTTCTTGTTTTCCTGTTTTTCCTTCTGTGACAAACCTCACCAAATCCTCTCTCTCTTCTTTCTCCGGAGTGGAAACCTCTTTGGAGCCAAAGAAGGTTCGCTTTTTCGCTCCTTATTTTTGCCCTAATTTTGCATTTAATTTTCCGATTTTTATTTCGTTTTTGCTTTAAAATCGGCATACCAGTTTGTTTTAGCTCTTCAAATATGGCATACGTATTAAATATTTTAATATTATATCAATTATCTGGTTGCTTCTTATTGTCATTTCATGTCTTTTTTTAATTATTATGTTCATTTTATTTATATATGAATTTTATTTGGCAGTTTTGTTTTTTGAATGGTGGATGGTTAACCCTAGTGGATAGAGAATTTCAGAGTACTTTGGATTAGCATTTGGATGAGTAATTTTATTTTCTTTTTGGAAACTTCTTTTAATTTTTCGCTAACAAAAGGAAGAAAGAAATTGTTCTTTGTTTGGAGTGGTTAGTTAGTAGAAATAACTTGGAAAAAAATGTGTTTCAACAAGCGTGGGCAGTTAAATCTTTAAGGAAATGAAGATACGTACCTAAACGAAACTAACTTTTGAAGGCACAAATTCCGAAAGGAATGCATGTTGGCCTTGAAACAGTGAATAATAACATGTGTTTGATGCTGTCTAAACAGAACCTTTGTTTCGAGGTCAGAAAGTGTTTAACAAAATTTTGCCTGATGTTGCTGTCTTTGAAACTAGTTTGTTAGTCTGGACAAAGCACGGCATTCGAATTTGGAAATCTAGCTGCTGGTTTCTAGTTTGGTTTTTTAGGCTTTTGCTCCGTTAATGGTAATTGTGGCTTTATTGTAGTGTTAAAATGCTGTGTTCATCATAACAATCAACGAAATACATCGCCTTTCCAATAGTAGCTTATATTTTCCATAGAGCAATTTAAATTACAATTTTGGATTTATTACACTGAGCATTGAAGTGTGAAGTTCAATATTAAGATTCTACCAGTTTAATTGTATTTTATCTTATTTATTCTTGTTATCTATATGATAATCATTTGAGTTGATGTAAACTATGATCGAAGGAATAACCTCTGTATCCTTTGGCATTAGTTTTGTTTGGAACTGTTTTGGTATTAGATCATTGATCCATGAAATGGATGCCTTATTTATTTTATTATCTTTTTTTCTTGTAAGGAGGCACTGTCTTGATCTTAGTTCATTTCATGGTGCACTCAATCAATTCTGAGTTTTCACAGATTGTATTCGAGGGTACACTATCCTCATATCAAGTTTTTCATATTTTGTCATTGGAGGGGGTACACTAAATTTGAGTTTTTATCTATTTCAGCCTGCCAAAGGCCATCCAACATAAATTTATGAATCAGATCCTCTATCCTCATATTGGATGGCCTGGACCTGGCAATTCGTGTCACTGTGTCGTGTAAAATACTGTATTTGTATTGTGTTTTACATGAAATCCCATGTTACAATTCGCGTCGATACAAAAACATAAAATATAATTTTTTTGGTTTCATTAAACATATTAAGCTGTGTTATCTTCGTGTTCTTTATTCGTATCGTTTTCATATCATGTCACTGTGTCATGTTTCAAATTGCCAGGTCTAGATGGCCATTATACCTTGTGGAATCACATGGGTTGCCCAGTGGGGTATTCGTCCTCAGTTCAGTGTACGATCTTTTGTCCCAAACCGAATAATGACGGCCCAATCAGGGTAAGTTTTCTGCTTAACTCTTTTTATGTATCGAAGTGGAATTGCTGAATTTGATTCTGTCTACAATTATTTTCTCCTAGAGCTTTATATGTATGTGGAGTTGCTGAATTTGCAATGTCAGTACTGGTTATGGTTTTTAATTTTATGGTTTTCTCATCAGTGCGCATGACATTTTCGAATTTTTTGGTGCATAGCATTTTGGTGAACATAATGATTAGATGGGAGGATTTACCCCCTTTTTTATTTCTTTTACTAGGCTATATTTGTAGTTTTAATTAAAGAGAAAGGACAAATAACAAAAAGTGGAGTGTATTACTGCAAGCCATAATAGTTTATTTGTTGGTATTTATGGAATAATAATTTATGCATTTATTACCCTTATGCAGAGTAACAAGTGCAATAAGTTATTTGGGATCACGGAGTTCTAGCTTCTTTTCACGTGATTCCTTACCATTGTTATCCTTGGTGGGGTCATCTCGATCATCACATCGTCGTAGGGGGGCAAAGTTCATTGTTAGAGCTGAAAGTGTGAGTATAAACTTCCAGTTTCTTTAACTTTTTCTTTTTTTTTTGGTGAAAATGGAGCCTGTAATGGTTTTTCCAACATTTTATTATATCGTTTTGAAAGTTTCAGTATGCATTTCATTTGTTTATTGCTGTTTGTTGGCATCTCACCCACTGTTCCATTCTCAATTTAACATGATAATGTTTTATAATAAGCAGGATTATTATACTGTCCTTGGGGTTTCAAGAAATGCAAGTAAATCTGAAATTAAAAGTGGTATGCTGACGTAACCTTACCTTCTTTGGTGACTGTTCTGTTCTATTCCTTGTATGATTGTTTATTGCATTTATGTGCTTATTTTGGTTTACTAATCCATTTCCTATTTGTGCTTTTGCAAATTATTGAAGTTTGCCTGGCTTTAAGTGTTTTTGCATGCAAAGTTCTAAAACACTGTTGCACAAGCTTTAATTTTAGGGCAGGGTAGGTGTTAATGTCATAAATCAAAGAGAATTTGGAAAGAATGGATGGATGTGAAGAGAGATTAAGATGCAGTTGAGGATATAAGTAGTAGGTACACATAGCAAGCATGTATAGGGGTTGAAAAAATCATTCCTTTTTTTTTTTTTGGGTTAAGGTAAGGCATGTACTTACTAATAATTCAAGGGGAATAAAATGAATGCTTGCAAGTCTCAGAGAGAAATGTAAGACAATGGGTCAAAAAGGTTGAGTTGACAAGTGATATTCACATGTAAGGTTCCTGCTAATCAAAAGGAAGCTTCTTTTAGGTTTCTCAACTATTTTGAGGAAAATTTATGGTTGTCTTGCTTGATTGGAGCTTCAAATTGTTGAATTGTAAACTTACGTATATGGACAAGTGATTGATCATTATGTAAACTAGATTCTCTTTTTTGTCATAACTCATAAGTACCCCAAAACTAAACTTAGTTGTTTCTGTTGCTACTTTCTGCTTTTATCTACTGTATTATATTATCTTATTGTTTTTGAATTGTTATTTTACAGCTTATCGGAAGCTTGCTCGGAATTATCATCCGGATGTGAATAAGTCAGTTGATAACCTTGAACCTCTTGCCTTTTATTTGTGATTGTGTGTATGCTACACTTGTGTACATTTCGTTATATTTGAGTTCTTTGATATCAGATGGTAAATGTATATGTAATGGGCAGAGCTAGGAAAACTTGAACTTTAGTTGCAAGCGGATCAGATAAAAGATGCAAGTTGTAATTATTTGAATATTTGTGGTATTTGATGTGATGCAATTCAAGACATCTGCTCACTGGAATTTAAGCTAAGCAGACAGAAATAAATAATGATGAACATATGAAATGGCTAACTATTTACCTAGACAACGCATTAGGAAAAAACCTGTGTGAATATTTGGGCCATAGTGTTGTGGTTAGTCTCTGAAATTATCAATGTTTCTTTCTCTAATTTATTCTCGTTATTTTCTTCTTTTCCATTTTTGGAGCTACTGGTGGTACAAGTTGTTTCCTGTAGAAGTGACCACAATGATATTCAGAAAAATGGCTTCTCTCACTCTGTTTGAATAATAGCAATTAGCTTCCGTATGATGTTGTCGAATATAGGCTTCAGTAGTCCTAGCATGATGCTGTTGCTAGGGAAATTCTGTAAAAAGGCTGGTTAGAGTTCCCTGAGAGATCATATTAATGAGTTGGATTGACATCCACTTATTTTTCATTTAATATCCTCATCCCAGGATGGAGGAATCTGCTTAATGTTTCTGTAGATGTATCACACTTTCACCTTCTTTTGAGTATTTGAAGTTGCCTAATCATTTTGTCATTTGAGAGGTAGAGGAAGGAATGTCTATCTACTTTATATCCTAAGCAGGGGCTTAAAATAAAAATTGATAGTACCTTTATCCAAACTGAGATCTTAAATAATGGTTAGAAGGAGAATGTAATTGCTGAAAGAAAGAGAAAATGGAATAGTAGTCATAGATTTCCCGAGTTAGATATTTGTTGAGTTTGTATTTATATATTTCTTAATGTGATTGCTGAAAGAGAGAGAATATAGAACAGTTTTTGTAATTTTCTGACTCTTAGTCTAATTTACCATCTTCTGAAGTCTCTCAAAATAGTTTGTTGTTTTAAGTGTGTTTTGCTAGTTGAAATATTTCTTTAATCCAGATATGTTTGCACAATAATGCTTTTTTGTTTTTTTTTTTTTCTGTTTTGGTTTCATTTCTTCCCTTTCTGATCATTATTTGTTATTCTGCAGAGATCCAGGGGCAGAGCAGAAGTTCAAGGAAATTAGCAATGCATACGAGGTAAGAGTTCTATGTTGTGCTTATATTTGGTTTCTTTTATTTGACCAAAATGCATCCGTTCCTATGTTCATATGATATGTGATCCTTGAGACATAATATATTGCTTAGGTCTTGTCAGATGATGAGAAACGACCTGTATATGACAAATATGGGGAGGCTGGACTTAAAGGTGCGGGTATGGGAATGGGGGTAAGTTAATTCTACTGTTGCTGAATAAGATCATTCATTTCACAATTATTCTCCTTGGATTTTCTCAACATCTTGCTGAATAATTTTTCAGGATTTTAGCAATCCTTTTGATCTGTTTGAGTCACTGTTTGAGGGCATGGGTGGAATGGGTGGCATGGGCATGGGCATGGGCGGAAGAAGTTCCATGAATAGAGCAGTTGATGGGCAGGATGAATATTACAGTCTCTTATTGAATTTTAAGGAAGCAGTTTTCGGAGTTGATAAAGAGATTGAGATAACACGATTAGAAAGGTGTGGAACTTGTAATGGGTCAGGTGCAAAACCTGGCACAAAATCATCCAAATGTACTACATGTGGTGGGCAAGGCCAGGTCGTCTCATCTGCAAGGACTCCATTGGGTGTCTTCCAGCAGGTAATGACATGCTCTTCTTGTGGTGGGACGGGGGAAATTTCTACCCCTTGTAATACGTGTTCTGGTGATGGGCGTGTAAGGAGAACGAAGAGGATCAGTTTGAAAGTTCCGGCTGGTGTGGATACTGGTAGCCGTTTAAGGGTTCGGTCTGAAGGAAATGCTGGAAGGAGAGGTGGGTCTCCTGGTGATCTCTTTGTGGTTATTGAAGTTATCCCAGACCCTGTGCTAAAACGTGACGATACCAACATATTGTATACCTGCAATGTGTCGTATATAGATGCAATACTGGGAACAACAATCAAGGTTCCAACAGTGGATGGAATGGTGGATTTGAAGATACCAGCTGGGACCCAGCCAAACACCACCCTTGTAATGGCAAAGAAAGGTGTCCCTGTTCTAAATAAAAGCAACATGAGGGGTGATCAGTTGGTTCGCGTGCAAGTTGATATTCCAAAACGATTGAGCAGTGAAGAGAGGAAGCTTGTTGAAGAGCTTGCCGACTTAAGCAAGGCCAAGACAACAAGCAATAGGAGGTAGTTTTGCTGAGTTTAGGGTATACACCAATTATGTGCTATTTGCGCTGGAAAATGTATTCACCAATCACCATCCAGTGGTCGCGGCTTCCGAAGATGGAAATTACAGTACATGCAGTTCTCAAATGCTTCAACTGCTAAAGGAGAAAGCTGCTAAATTTTGTTCTCGTTGGTAAATTATATTGTGATAAAACTTGTCTCGTCTAAAGAAATCTCAAGGTAAACAGGGAGGTGAAACAGGAGATGAAGATTAGAAATAACATCACTCTCTTATTTTGTTTTGTACTTTGACTGTTGTCTTTTATTAATTATTCTTTTAGATTGAACTAAAATTTAGGCAAGAATGTGACCCTTCCATTTTTTCCCTTTTTTTATGAATTTTGATGAATGAATAACGAATTTAGTATATCCAAATTAGGGACGTCAAGGGGATGGGTTAAGCATTTTTCGTCCCCTTTTTTTTTTTTTTTTCTTTTTTTTTTTTTCAGTTTCGCCGTTCTCATACTCATTTATGGGTAATTATACTCATTTTTAGTTCCGTGAGGAAGGATTTAAGGGGCACATGGAATTTATACTTGTGGTTTTTTAAAAAATTTTAAAAAATTGTTTTTAGTATCTATGATTGTGGAACTGCTTTTACTAAATGCCAATGGTAAATGAATGAACTAATGTTTTTAGTACCTCCACTAAAGCATCCTCAAATTTGCTAATTGCTGTTAGCTCGATTGGGAGGGAGAGAGAGAAAGAAAGTAGGGACAGATAAATTAAATAGGGAAGGTATGAACAAAATTTTGAAACCCTAATTGAATAACATAATAAATTTATATTTTAAATATATAAATATATATCAAGTATGGATATGAGACCATAATATTATATGTTCATATTTTAAATTAGATGGATATTTCAAAACATATGTCTTTGAAATTTGAGCATTCGGCTCCTTTCCTATTAATTTCTCAATTGGGGAGTTATATTTTAGGCTGGATGAAATACTATCTCATTAAATTTAAGATCTGTGGCTCTAAAATTATATACATCATTAAAGTATTCGAGAACAAATATTATGATTGCAACAATTGAGAGCCACATTTTTTTTTATAATAAAAATCGCAATTTAAAAATAAAAAAAAATTAGTAAGTATTGAAATTTAAATTTTAAATTTATCATTCATCACTTCTTAAAAATAAATACACAAATCAATTAAAATATATCCAAAATTTGAACTCAGACTAAGGACTATAGTTGCTCAGAGCTTTCTACTTAGGCAGGGAAATGAATGTTCATGTAATGTTGGGAGCCACCTATTTTGGAATTCTACAGCCAACCAACACATATTTGTACAACACACTTCCAACTTTCAATCCCAATCAAACCCTCAGCTCCCATGGTCAACATTTTATTTGCTCTTTAGATATTTAATCAAATGACATCGATTTTAATTGATTTTACATGATGATTTCACTATAGTCAAAATGTCTAAATATTTAAACATGGCATTTTTCTTTTGTTACATATAAGACTATAGTTAAAATTTTATATACAAAATTCATCATATTTCACTATGATTATTTATTTTTGAAAAACTTTTAAACACTTACTTCTATTTCTTAATTTCATTGACAATGATGCTTAAAAACAGATAATACATACCACGTTATAAGATTAAGTTCATAAATTCTTGAATTATAGATTTTTTATTCAATAATTAATGAATATATTCTCGATTCGGTACTTATTACATTTCTTATCCATATGTATTCGATTTTTTGAAATAAAAATAAGCCACATTATAAGATTTAGGGACCACTGCAATTAAAGTGTGATTTAATAGGAGACCAGTAGAGCAGAGTCACAAGAGATCACTAAATGCTCAAGAAAAAAACAAAGGAACAACGAAAGTGAGCTCCACCAAGATCTCTGTTTTAAAGCGTATCTATTTGTACGGATGCACTTCATTTCGGCTTTTGGATTTTGCAAGAACTGCCTTGTCGTTACAAATGTTTCTGTAATGATGCTATGATTTTATTTTTCTTTTTGTGTTTTTTCCCCCCCAACATATTTATTAATGCTTATATGGGGACCATTGACAAATGTGTGTATGGTCGCAGCATTTTGGCAAATTGATGGGGATTTGGGAGAGAAAGAAAATGGAGGGGGAGAGGACATGAGGAAGAGATGGGTGATGATGGGCTGATGGCCTCCATGAAAATCCCGAGAAGATGAGGGGAAAAAGGCCATGAAAATCAAAAGCTTCAGAATTAATGAGACAATATTGACAAACCATACTCAATAATAAAGCAAACGAGTCAAAGAAGAAAAAACTCACGGGCACTGTTGCCAGTTGCAACTTCACTGTACATGATTATAAGAAGATATTTTAGTTAAAGTGCTGAAAATCTGCAAAGAATCCCAGGAATCCACGAACACCCCCCCCCCATTGAACAATTTATTTTTAAGGGTTTACAATATATAATAATCAAAAGCTTAAAACCAATGAACAGTAATTAGATTTTTTTAAGGGTTGTAAAAGCGATCACCACAGCGGCATTTCCAACCAAGAGGCTTGTAGTTGGAGTATTGGTTACCTGATGGGTCAAAAAACTGCATGGAATTAGTGATTGCCTTGCTTAAACCTGGTTGAAATCGGTCGTGGCTGGGTAATGTAGGAACTTGGACTGCCATGCAAGGATGGCATCCGTTGCATTTGTTGTGGCAGCTTGGAGGAGTTGATCCCAACCTTGTTTTCTCCTCAAAAGATGGAACCTGTTGAAAACCCAATACCAGTACCATTGTTAAATTAATCAGAGAACATGTAAACATGGGAAACAAAGAGAGAGCTGGGGCTTCAATGCTAACCCAGTCAGGGGAGTTTGGAGGCTGCGGCTGGCGAAAGGAAGAGGCTGGAGAAAGAAGAAGATGAAAGCAAAGGGAAATAACTAAGGTAGATATGTAAAGGGAGAGAGAAACAAGTGAACTCATAATGATCATGAAAGGATTTCATGTAACCATGAAGTCAGTACCAGTAACACGAGTTTTCCCTCCCAAAACCAGCTTTGACCAAAACCCAAGAAAGCAAAATCAAAAGATGAAAGAAAAAATCAATGGAACTCAAACTGCATGTACATAGGAAACCAACCTACCCCTGCTGCAAAAGGCAAAGGGAAGAACCAAAAAACCAAAGCAAGAAAGAGAAGGAAGTGAACTGAACAGGTTGAGTAAAAAAAATTTACGATACTATTATTAATAATATTGGGTAGCTTAGCAATGAGACGAGTGAGTACGAAGGAAGAGAAGGGTAATAAATTTGGGGTATGTGGCGGTGGTCTGACCTAAATGTGTGAAAGAGAGAGATAGGTGAGTGTGGCAGAAGAGTGAAAGGAACAATACAGAATAGGCAAACAAATTGGGAGAATCCACATCAGAAAGGAAGGGGACCCAATAGGCCTATTTTTATCTTTACTTGATTGGGGTCTTGAGGAATGGCCTGGCTAATTGCAGCTGTTTAGAAAGCAAAAGGCTGGATTGTGACTGAGTTTGGATGAAAATTGAAAAATAATGGGGGCCGGAAAGCAGGCAGTGGTTAATTTTCAGCATTTAATAACTGCAAGACTCATTTTTGATTCCCAAGTGTGCTTCAAAATTTTAGATTATGTTTGACTGCGACTTGTTGAAACTTTCATTGTCACAATGCAGAGTGTTAATGAAATTAAAAATGAAAAAAAAAGGTTCTAATTATCCATTATCAAACAAGACAATCAAGCAGTTTCTCACAATTCAATAGTGAAATGATGTATTCACTTGAAAACTTTTACCAAATAAAAGAGAGGATGCTTTTTCAAATTGATTTTTGTTTTTAAATTCCAGCAATCACTAGTTTGAAACGGGTTTAGAGTCCCTTTGGCCACATGATAGGAGTTTTTCATTTTATTTGGATGGATAATAAAATTAATTATAACGAGATTAAAAATAATATAATTAAAATTTTTTTAAAAAAAATTTATATTAAATAAATTTTATTAAAATTAATATTTAAATTTAATTAATGACACGATGAATGCAATCGTAAAAACAGTTAAATTCAAATGGACAGTTAATATCATTTTATAATTGAAATGTAGCTGTGGCGCGTTGGGAATAAATCTCATGGTGCTGACCTGGGTTTATCATTTGAACATGAGTTGCATTTAGGCTTTTCCTAACTTCTATTTTTTTGTCTTGGCCCTAGGATGAGTACAAGCTCTCAAAATCACTTAGGACAAAGAAATTAAAGAAAAATATTAGTGCTAATCCATTACTTAAATTTTAGTAACGTTGGGATAAACAATATATTATCAAAATTTACGTCACCTGTCACTTTTTTTTTTGCTTTTTTATTTTTTTCCTTTTTTGTAAATTTTTTAGATTTAATAAATATTTTTTATTAATTTTATTTTTTAAGTAGGATTACTTTACATCAATTTTTTTTATTTTTACTTTTTTACAATATTTTAAATTTATTTTTATGAGATTTATTTGATATTAAAGATATGTGGTGTGTTTGCTTTTTTATGATTTACTAAGGGCATTTTCTATGTCAGTTATTTTTTTAATCTATTTTTTCTTTTTTTTATCATTTATTTATTTTATTTTAAATATTTATATATTTTTATAATATTTTACCTTAAAATGGGTAAAATGATTATTTAATCATTTTATTTTCAAATAATATACCTTGGAATTTTTTAAAGATAAACGAGTTTAGATTAGAAGCATATTTAAAGTACTTTCTTTTGAGCTATTTTGATGTATATATAAAATTTTATATTTTATTTAATTTTATAAATATATATACATAAAATATGATAAGATAAGATAATATTATAAATAAGATTATATTAAATAATATCATTTTATTTTGTATTTGATATATATATATAATAAGAATTAGAATAGAATAATTTATTTATTTATCAAAATTATTTTTTTTAAATTTTATATAATTTAAATTATTAATATAATTTTTAAGAGTAAGATTGGGTAAAGAAGTTTAATCTCATGAATTAAAAATAATCTTCTTCACTTATGAAGGATTGAATCATTCTATATAAAAAAGATATTAATTCTTCTTATAATCTCTATATCTTTTTTTTTAGATATAAATCAAACAAGATAAATAATAATTATTATTTTATTCTATCAAAAATCTTATATATCAAACATGACTTATATATATTATATTAATAAATTTATTTTTTATCTTATTTTAATAAATTAATATTTTAAATTTAATATAAGGTGTCAATGTAACATCTTCTATAAGCTTTTTTTCTCATTTTTAATTTTCATTGTTTTCAATCTTTTTGTTTTTGATTTTTTTATTAGATAAATTAATAAAAAATAAAACCAATTAAAATTTTCATGTATCATTCTTATTTATTTATTTTTATTTTTTAATTAAATCAATTTTATAAAAATATACGATAATTAGAGATAATTAAACAAAAAAAAAATCCACCGCCACTTTTTTTTTTTTTGGTAAAGTTGGTACCAAGCTTTATATTAGAAATTAGACGCTAGCTCATCTCTTGTCCTTGAACGTTAGGTGCTTCACATTAACCTTCATTGAGCACCGTTCTGCGGTGCGCGACTGTACTGTAGTCAGCGACATCTTAGGTGTGCGACAATGCGGGACATGTTCAACCGTCCGATATTTGAGCTGGAATTTTGACGGTTGATGACAATTTGCAATAATGTTATAATGGGGGAGAATTACAAATTAGAGCAATACACAGTCGTCCGACCATACTATCTTAATAATATTTTAAATGATTGCTGACTCATTTTATTTGGATTAACAAATAAAAATAATTTTTAGATAATCCAGCTAGACAAATTCCCATAAACAGAGAATGATAATCTTGTTTTCCAATTAAACCAAGAAAAATGTTTTGAAAAATAAAAAGGAATTCATTCAGATTTGTACAAAAAAAAATGAGCCACTTCGTGGAAGACACTTGCCAAAGCAACGCGTGAAACTCTCAGAAAAGTGGCAGCTAGCAGGGGCTCTCAGGCTGAGTGGGGGGTGCGCTGGCTGTTGTGAGTTATTTTCTTCAGCAGTTTCTCATCTCTACGTTTCCTGATTTGTCGCTGTGATTTTTCTTTCTTCAGTACTTTTTAATCAGATGCACTTGTTGGTGAATCTGCAGCAAACAGTAACATAACATATCTCCACAACTCTCTCCCTCTCTCTCTTTCTTACTTTGTTTTTATGTAGAGAAGAAAAGAAAGATCTTGGCTTAGCTGTTGACAGAGAAGTATTCTTTCGCTTTTGAGGTTAAAATATTTTTCCAGCATATCACCAGAAAAATGTGAAACCAAAAAAAAAAAAAAAAGAAACAATAAACCTTTTAACTTGTTAAATGGTAGTTCCATATTTTTTTTTTTTTTTCATTTTATGGAGCATACATTTTTTAAGGAAGAAAAGGAAAAGCTGATGATTAATGTGCAACTGCTTGTTGCTGCTAGCTGCAGAAGACTTGTCATACTGAGGTTACATATGAGAATAAGATGGTACAAAGTGGTTCACATGTGATCAGATGATCAGATAGATTCAACGGTGTTGATTTTCCAATGCCAAGCTTTTTAATCAATAAAAAAATTTCTTGATAGATTGGAGATGTACATGAATTTATCAGTCCTTATATGTTATTTAAATCATATAAATGCTTCCCAAATTTAGAATGAATAAAATATATACATACATCTAATGACTTATTACATTATGCGACGACGTAGCTGACTTTGCAGGAATCTTGCTATATAATATGAATTATCCATCACCAAAAAGTGTTAAAAGAAGAATATGAATAAGTGCTGAGCCTGGGTGTTAAAAGTTTTTGGCATAGTGGTCCTCCATCCGAACATCATTACATGCATGTATCAAACATGGTGTGAAAAATTGCAAATGGCAGAGCAGATGGCACATGCTTTGTGGGAGGAAAGATGCTGATGGCAGCTGCATGCTGTTGCTGTTGGATGTAAAAGATTAAAGGTAGTTCAAAACGTAGCAGCAGTGATTACTCAGCTAGCTTTGTTCCTGTAGGGAACCCTCAATGCCTTTCTAATCCAACTGCTCTCGGCCTCGATTCGATTCAGTATGGTTCAACTTTTCAGTCTACATTTCGTGCCCAAATTAACTTCTGGAGCCCAAAAATGTGCTTAGTCCAAATCCGTGTAGGGTTAGATATATGAAGGTTATACTCTTTCTCCTAAACTAAAGGCTTCTTATGAATATTGTGCAATTAAATTAGATGATACAAACAAAAAAAAAAGTCAAAAACTCTAAGTTGTTCATTCAGTATTTAGACAGTTGGATCGATAGAGATCCTCATTTACAATCAGAGGTGGAATACTCCATGTTCCAAGAGGGTGTTCTGAAACCTTGCCACCTGAAAATTCCAGAAGTAATACATAAATGCACCCAGAACAAAAGATGCTGAACTTTCATATCCAACTTTAAAATGTTTGCAAATCACCTTCTTTAGTGGCTTCTTCACATCTTCTCTGGTATTTTGAGGACAGATGAGGATCCAAACTTTTCAATAAATTGTCATACCTCTCTTCAGCATCTGTTATGTATTTTGCCTGAAGGAAGACAATTTTTTTTTTTTTTTTGTCAACCAAAAAGAAAAGAGTTCATACGTGAGACTCGTCTTTTTAACAGTGATTGGATTTTGAAGATAATTCAGTAATAGAATCATTCCATTAAATAAATGAGGTTGGGATTAAAAGCTTGTTTCAAGAAATAAGGAGAATAGAATTCACTGATCAATCCATATGTCTAACATCCCACTTCACATCTATATTCCATGTGAATAACACAATAATTTCACCACTCAAAAATCAAACCTTAAAGCCTATTGAATAATTTCTTTCACAGAATGGTGTCAATGTCATACTCACCAACATAGTTGGGGCTGTTGAAGGTCCATATATTTTGACAAACATGCGCAAAATATTGAAATTGTTTTCTAATACGTCATCCTGCAGTGAACCCGCAAAAATTATAAAACAATTGGATAAATGAAATGGAACCATGTAGTCAAAACAAAGAAAAACCATCAAAGAACCAAAGTACCTCATAGTCAAACCTGGAGCATCATTATATCATGTGGGAGTTGAGTAAAATTGACACCATGCTTGCAGCATATTATTACGAAAATGAATGATAACATCAGTTCCTGAATAACAATGAAAGAAAAAGGTGCAAGAAAAAAGAGACCAAAAGTAGTTGAACATTGAGTGTATCGGAGCACTTGTGCAGGAGCCATTGGAGTAAACACACACACACACACAAAAGTGGAGACTTGTAAGCCTTAATGCATTTGTCTGCAGTCAAGCAAATGCCTCTTGAATGGTCAAAAGTAGGCTCCTGCTAATTTGCATTCACTGACTTGGACCAAACCCAGAAGGTTTTATACCCATTTCTTTCACTAAAAATTATATGATCCAAAATGGAAAGGGTCTATACCATTGAAAAGATCTTAAATCTAGGTAAAATCAGAAAACAGAAAGGAAAAATCACTTACAGGTCATCTGATATTTCTACCAGGAATTCAGAGACAGACAGGAATTCCATGTGCAAGTCATTAACCTTTACAACAAATTCAAAGAAAATACATTTAGCCTCATGTAAAATAAGTTACAGAAATGAAATATGGAATGCAAGATAGATCATGTTAAAGACTTAAAGGTAATGGATACATTTTGATATCATGTTGTAACATATGAATGCAGACTACATAACATTTCTAAGCTGCTATAGAATTTCATTTCTGCTTCTTGTTTAAAGATTGAAAACTGAAGTGATTGTTATAAACTATATCTTAAAAATTAATGTAAAGAGAAACTGTAATGCAAGAATCATCGTATGTACTTCTACAAAACTTGATCAAAACCAACATAGCAAATCATGACATCTTGGAGATGTCACTTTATCAAGTCAGAAAGAATAATATATTGCTTTAGAGATTTGATTTTCCCTCCTCTTTTACCAAAACTCTGAAGTAGTGCCTTAAACTTACATCTGAAATAGGAATGTTAGAATGCCAGCATGGTGCACAAAACCAACAGAGGTAAGTACATGCAGCAAAAGATACAAATGTATAAACAGGCTAACAGCATATTACCTCTTCTCCTCTTAACTGATACAGAAGAAGATTCAGCACTCGATAGTCAAACGATTTTAGATGAATTGCCCTCATTACATCTTCAATAGAGATCTGGAAACAGCAAACTTTTAATCCCTAGACATTTCTTTGGTGCATTTCCTATTACAAGTTTTTTACACCCTTTCCATCTGAAGGGCAAAACTCTTTTATCCATTTACTTAAGCATATCTCTTAGAAGTCAATGCTATTTATTAAAAAGCTACCTGCTATTCAAGAATATGCAGATCCTCAAGCAGGGTTTGCGTGCATTTACTAAATACCTAGTTGAACATTTATACCAAAAGGTTTTAGTCTGTTGACATCTATATGTCAAAATAATTCAAAGTTCGAAAGCAAGCAGAGACAATTTGCTCAAGAAGCTATGACAAGGCAGTGCTAAAATCAAAGATCTATTCATTCAATGTACAGACTATAATTCTTTAAACGCCAAAAGGTGGAAATGCTTGTTAGTTCTGCTTATACGCAATGCTGACGAACACGAAGAAGTCAAATAAATAAGAATATATGGTACCAGCGTTTTATTATTTACCTTTCATACCATAAAAAAAGGCAGACCATTATTCTCTGTTTTCTTTAGACAGAAAAATAAGAATAATAATAGTAATCTACTTTTTGTCTCCAAAATCAGTACTAGGTAGAGAAAATGATTTTCTTTTTTCTTAATTGGTTAGAAATAGTAATAAGCTATAAATATAATTAATTTAAGCAAAACAGTGAAGATAAAGGAGGTATATCTACCTCTATTTTGAACATTAGTGCACAACATAGCCTTCTTTCCAAAGCCCAGTACTCTTCTCCAGACCTAAATTCTTCTCTGATCCTAAATCCATTGCACAGAAAGAAATCAACCACATAAGTCTCTCTCTCTCTCTCTCTCCACCCCCCTCTTCTTCCCCTAAAAGGAAATAACATAGCAATATAGATAAAGTAAAAAAAAAAAACCTCTTAGTAAGGAGTCCTCGGCATTCAAGTACATTTAAAAGTGGTCTGAATGGATCCTTTTCTAACACATTTGCAAATGTTTCAGCACAACCCTGATATTTTACGTGTACCATAGAAAGAATTTCATATGCCAATGGAAGCTGATCATTAGGAGATTAAGCACAAAACTAGTCCTTCAGAGATGTCAGTATTACCTTCTCAAATTCTTTTGCTAGAGCAGTACCTCCTTCTGTTGGTACACACAGTATCTTCTCATTCAAACCATCTAACTGCATAAACAAAAATTATGGGTGCTGAGGAAAGCAAGAAAAACAGCCATGATATCAGATCTTGAAAATTTAGTGGTTGCAATGTTTCCAAAAGTTAAGAGATAATTCACTGCTGACTTCTACAATGCATTTACAATGGAAGTAAAACACATTTACTTTGCAATGACAATAAAGGAATGGAAGCCAAGGCAAGGGTCATTCCTTCTTGGAGAGAAAATTCATTTGTCCTAATGGAAGTATACAAGGAAAAGGAAATTCACCCAATTCCAACATCAACTTCACAATACCATTGCTTTGAAAGCCACAAAACTAGCTCCAAGAAATCAATCCAAATTTATGCAATATTCTTGCATTAAATGTAAAGATTACTTATAAAAATGACAATATTTCTTCAAATATTGATTGTTACCTGATAAATGTAGCTTTCAGTGAATGCAAGGACAGGAAAATATTTAAATATCATTTGTGGGCTGCTTATGTCCATTCCATGAAACATAAAATAAGATCTGCACTGCAAACACAAACACAACATCAGTGGTTGGGATCATTAAATAGAACACATTTGTCTAAGAGCATAGGTAAATAAAATTATTAATGCATCCTATAACCATTAACGCGTACAATACAATTGCGGATAGTGATTTAAAACAGTATGATGATGAGTGCTTACAAAGTCCTCTAGTGTAGAACTTGCTCGTTCCATTGCTTCGAGTCCCACCATTGCTACCTCCTCCTGGTTTATCTGCAACGAAAGGCAATCCGTCTTATCGGGCGGATTATTAATCTCTTGAGAATCTGCAAAATTAAAAAGAAAAAAAAATCCCAAAACATAAAGTCCTGAACTTTATAAACCAACCAAACTTAAAAAAAAAAAAAGTTGACCTCTTTCATCAGTTTCCAAACTAACCCATTGTGATGCTTCTTCCAGAAAGGTAACCGAAATCTGCAATTTTGAAAACAATTTGCAAAAAAGGGAAATAAAAGGAAAGAAAGGAAATGAATCATTAATAGGAATTGGGTTTAGCTTACTTTTGGTATATATTCGGAAATTAAACTGCATTTGGCGTCAAGATTGAGTTCGCCGCATGGTTGTAACTGGAAAACCGTATTAATTAATTATAAGACAAATTTAGTTAAAATGCGATGAAAAAGGGAAAAAAAAGAGAGAGAGATTACTAAGAGAAGGATGAGATTGGCGAGGAAGCGGTTGGAGTCGAGGGTTGAAGAAGAAACAAAGTTATGCGATTGCATAAATGTAAGAGTTCTATGGAGTTGTTCTAGCTTCCTCAATTCCTCCATTCTGTCTTCTTTCTCTGCTCTACATTTCGTCATCTTCAAATTTTCGTAGTTCTTAAAAATGTAGCAACGACAGCGTTTTGAACTGACATTCTTGAGAATATTTTTTGGGCCAATGGCATTGTTAAGATTAGATACGTACAAATATTTCCCCATTAAATTTTTAATTGTTTCATGCCAAACGAAAATCCTATATTTTATCATTCATGAATAATACTTTTTTAATTTTTTAAAATTTTTTGTTATAAAAAAAAGAATAAAAAAATTACTAAAAAATTTTAAAACAAAAACAAAAACAAAGGATTTCAACCCGTTAACTTTTAAAATAGGCTTTACGGTTTTTTATACTTAAAATATGCTTTACTTTGATATTTGCAATAGCATTAACATCATATTTGATCTTAAATTATATCATTTTTTATGATATGATATTTAAAAAAAAAAAATTCATGTTTTGATATTTTAATTTTGTTTTTTTAAAACACTTTACATTTAACTACCGATATTAATCAGACAACGTGACAAATTTAACCAATAAAACTATGTCAAGTGTCACAATATTATTCATTATTTTTTAGACATGTCAACATATTATTAACTTTGTTAGCGTGTGAGACAAATCACGTGATAAAATAAATGTTAAAATCTAAAATCATGAATTTTTTTTTTATAAATGTCAAATCATGAAAAGTGATATAATATAAAAGCCAAATTATAATTAACCATTTATAATAATATATTCAGATTTTACTATTTTTAAAAAAGCTGCCTAAAGAGAAAAAAATATTTTTGAATATTTTATTATACAAAAAGATAAAATGCAACAATAACAAAAAAAAAAAAAAAGAAAAATGTTTGAGATGATTAGTAGAATACCACACAAAGAAGAATTACAAACACAAGCTAAGCACAAAAAAGCCACCTTGACATGTTTCTATGCTTAACGAGAAATAAGCATCGTCCACATTTTATTTAATGTTTTTAACCCTTTCTAGCTGTTCTTCCATCTTCAATTGTAGCAGGGTTGCAGGGGTCAAGAAACAAAGAGATTTTCAAGCAAAAAATGTTTATGCCCGAGCAAAAGCTCTGGTGTCATCTATGAGAGTCCAAGTGCCTTGCATGCTGAAGGATCAGACTAAATGCCATCATGCTGTTAATTACATACACGCCGACTGCATCTGCTGCTTCAAAATCTTATGCTCTGTCATTGCCAGTTCCATTGCTTGTACCTGAAGGCTGAGTCTGATGCATTTCCATTTGTTTCGTTGCCTCAGTCAAATTACGTGCTTCAACTGTATTTTTCTCTTGAATAAGTTCCCGCTTGTCTTCAAACAACTTCCCCGACTTTCCAATTGCAACGATTAACTCAAGTTGTTTTTGCTGTTGCTCCTACAGAGTACGTCATTGGAATATTGGAAGTTAAATTACTTTTAATAGACAGCAACAATATTCCCAACGATGAACCATTGAATTAACCACTAATCACATGTTGAGAATCCAAAAGCCACATGCATGGATTTTTATTACTGCTTACTAGTTCCTCAGAATACTAGGTAAGACAACAAGAAGATTTCTATTGGTAAAATGATTCTGAAACAACATGCACGCAATCCAGTCTTCTAGGGTTAGAATCTCAGCTCATGTACTTTATATTGGTTTTAGAAAGGCTTAAGGCAAGCAACACACTTTTTGAAGCGTTCAAAACCACCCTAAAAGACGGAAAAAAGCTTGACCAGTATTTACCCTTTTAAAACTGATCAACAAAGTAAAAGAGTGAATCAAATCTCAAACTTGAAGCCCCATTATAAAACTCCTATATCAACCGAGCACCATATTACCTGCAGCTACGAGATCAGAAAATTAAAAGAACCCATTGATGTAATCAAACAATGCTAAAATTTTGTTACCTGCATTGCCAGCAAAACTTTCTGAATTTCACCAAGCTCCCTTTCTAGGATGTCTTCTTTTGCTGCTAATGCCCTAGTAGTCTCAGAATTCTTTTGAGCCAAAGCCGCAGTCTTCAGACACAACAGAATGGTTAGAAAGTATAAATTTGAAAATAAAAATATCAACAGTTTGTCTTCCCATTCACTCAGATCTTCAAACATTAGTTTAGTCATGTATATCAAGTTAAAACAGGGCTGCATAGACTTAAATACAATTAAATAGAACAGCAAGAAAACATTCATTCTGCCATTGTAAAATGCATGCAACTTGCACTCAACAATACAAAAAGGTTTTTGAACACAAACACAGACACCCCCTTGTTCTTGAATAACAAATATCCCTCTAAGTCTTGGGTCTACAACTGTAACTCTATTTGTGAATGTATGAACTTATTTGGTCCTGCATTAGTACTCTAACCAATTTGCCTAGTAATTGAAGTAGGTATTTCCTTTTACATCTTCAGTTGCCTTGAATAAACATTAAGCAACAAGAATTACAACAGATGCTGGCATTCATTTATCATTACCTCGGCAATAGGCTGTTTCAAAGCCTTCCTTGTTACGCGAAATCGAATCCCCAATTTCTCAAGTTGCCTAGACAAAACTCGGATAATTGTAACGGAACTCCTCAAATCCTCCTCTAATTTCTCAATCCTTTCAACCAAATTAAAACTTTTCCCTTCTCCACCACCTTTGACCTTTTCCACAAAAATCCTCCGCCACTGCCGCCTCCTGATCCACGCTCCGATGGCAACCGCGCCCACCAATCCAACAACTCCGCACACCATAACCGTCCTCCAAATCCCACCCATATATATACCTTTCCATTCCGAAACGACATAAACAACCGAAACAACAACCGAAGAAAATATACACAAAAATTCAGCGATTGAGAGAAAGGAATCTAAATTGAAATCATTAAAGTTTGGGTTTAGTTCAGGTGAGGTGGCAATTGAAGAATCGGATTCGTAAGTTTTGAGAAGGAAATGGGAAGATGGATGGGTAGATTTGAAATTGAGAAAATTTCGAGCCCGTAAATGAAAAACTTGGAAATTCGAGAGGGGGATGGTGATTGGAGGAAATGAATAAGGGTTTCTGAGATAAGGTTTTAAGCGAGGAGGTGAAGCGATAAGGAGGTTTCGAAACACGATTGACATCGTCGTTTTTAGAGTTAAAAAGGTGTAAGTTTTGGTTTCTGTTCACGATTGGGGTGGATATGAATTGAAAGGGAAGACATTGTTAGGGTTTTGTGCTGAGATACAAGGAAGATGACGATAAATTCAACGGCTTTGGGCGCGGAGGTCTATCCGTATATGTTAGCTTAGGGAAGTACAAATGAGGCTAAAGTGCACCAGAAAGGAAGACATTGGGTGCACTTAGCGCACTCACCCTGGATACAGAACACGTGGTGTTTTTTTTTTTTTGCCAAAACATCCCTTATTTATTTGTTTTTTGAATATAATATTTTTTTTCCTTTTTAGACATTTAATACTCTTAACTTTATGCACTTATGTCATTTTTAAGAATTTTTTTTTTTTGATGTTAAGAAGCATTGAATATCAATAGTAGATTGACGAACAATTTCAAGCAATTAAAAGTTAATAAGATTAGTTTAACATTATTATTGCAATTGAAAAAATATGTTTAAACAATAGGATGAAAAAACATAATTGTAAAATTTAAATATTTAGTATTATTATAAAAAAATACTGTAAGTAATTAAAATATTTTAAAAAATTTATAAAAATAATAAAATATTAAAAATATAAAGAAAATATAGTATTTTTTAAAAAGAATTTTTTTACAGTAAAAATATCTATTTGAATTTTTTTTTATTTAGATTTAAAATCAAAATTTTAAATTAAAAAAATTAGTTTTCAATGTTTTGAACCTAAAGCTACCTTAAATTAGGCCTAATTTGCAACATACTAAAGATGAGAAAAGTGTACAGTACCATAGTCATTTGTCGTCCAAATTATTGTGAATTTGATCATAATTCACCCAAAGTCCTTGAAGTTTGATGCACGCAAACCACCAAAACTTTCAACCCACTTGCCTTTCTTTTTTTCCCTGAGTATTGATTATGTTGTGTATTTTTTTAAAAATTTTTTGGGTGGAAATTTTTGGGTAAAAAAAATGAAATTTTTGTTGTAACAGAAGTTTTGGGTTGCAAATTTGGTGATGGTTAATGTGAATGTTATGGTAGTTTTCGGGTTGAATTTGTATACGCTGGTAGAAGTTAAAAAATGAGTATTTGATTTTGGGTTTTTAAGATAAAAATTGATACATGATTTTGATGGTTTGAATTTAAGTTTTGAAAAATCAAACAAATTTAAGTAAAAATTAGCTTGATTTTATTTTCTAATCATTACTTTCAATAGAAAATAAAAATAATAAAAATTTTTAAATGAAAATTTTATATGTTTTCTACTTAGGATAAATTCATTAAGTTATTATGTTTTTAATCCAATATACTTAATTTTTAGGATAAATTATCAAGCTCCTTTTGATCGTTATGAAGGTGGCAAGTGACAAGTGTACGGGCATTTAAGTAACTTTACAATTCCCGTTAGCACCGTTTAACAACTTAGGGTTCATTGTCAGTTAAAAGGATGCAGATGAAATTTATGAAACTCTGATACTTATAGCAAATGTCAAACAGCTGATAATACATGATAAAAACGGCAGGTAGCAAGTAGGAATACGTCCGCTCGAACTATATCCTCTGAACAGACTGGCATAAATTAAAATTTTACTACTTCCTCCATATATGGTAAATATGTTCTCAGATCCTCAATTATTCTAATAGTAGGGCATATATCGCATTGGCCTCCTGAATCTAGGAACCTTCCTGCAATGAGTTTGTAAAGAGGGGAAAATTATACTTCCTGGATGAAACCTATGGTAAGAAAAAAGAAAGAATGCAATGTACGAGCAGAGGAAGAGCGCCCATGCACCAGAAAGAACATACCCGTATCCGTACGGAGAGTAGAAATATGAAGGTATGTAGGGCCTCCTGAACCGGTGGCCCATATAAGGACTGGGACGCCTTGGACGGTACTGCTTCATCCCAGGAACATTAGTCCTTTTAGGCAAAACCTGAATGTCACATGGAATACCAAAATTTCAGCAGAAATATGTTACTGAAGCAACTGCGAAGCCTTTATTATTCAGGATCACCAGGCTTCATCTTTCTGTAGTTAAAGAAAATGAGTTACCTTCAACTGGCGGCCATGTAACTCAGATTCATTCAGCACGAGGGCCTCTTGAACAGCTTCTGCTTCCAGGAACTCTACATAAGCAAAGCCTTTTGGTTGGCCATACTTGTCAGTCAGAATAGTCACTCTGTTTACGGTGCCACAAGATTGGAAATGCTGCTGCACTTCTTCAGGTGTGCAAGCATAATCAACCTGCAGGATAAAATTCGACCCAATGTTTTCAAAGAGAAACATGAGTCAGACAGTAACAAGAAAAACTAGACTATCCATGCTTGGTTATCATGATGCTTTCACCTTAAACCTAGTGAAGGATGGGGAGAGAATACGTTTCACTTAAAAAAAAAAAAACAAATAAAATCTTTAGAGACACTTTTTTTCTCTTGGCACAAGTTCCAATTAAACACAAAATTGTTGACATGTTCTCTTTGGGGTCTAGGCAATACATTTTGAACTATGCTATTTCAGCTTATCAAAGTCCATCAATCTTCTGGCACTCAAAATTTTTTTCTTTTTCAGCAATGCTGCCACTCAACTCCTATTAACTCAAACTCACTGAAGTTCTAAATTGAACATGATGCCATGCTTTTACTGAATTATACATTTAAGATGTCTAATGAACTCCACAATGCAATCCCAAACAGGCACCTTTCAAACTGCTACTTGATAAATTTCCCTTGCGAAATATCAGGAGAGAGACAGTAACTAGACATTCCCAACTTATCATGATGAATATAATGCATTACCTACCTACATATGCTTCAATATCTAACTGTTGAATTTATTAATAGCATGCAAATTTTTTTTATATTATCAGTGACCTTAAAGCAGTAAAAACATGAAGACAGTTTTGCACTTAAAATAAAAGGGTAACTCAAATAAAGCATGTCTTTAGAAACATGGTACTGAGGATAAGTAGAGTTTGATCACGACCTTATATTGGGAAAAACCACCAAAATACAAGGGAGATAACCCACAGGTTAATGGAAACCAAACATATTTATCAAAAAGTAATTGACTCGCAAAGAGTTTTCATCAACTGTAAAATACATTTTGGAATTACCAGGATCCCCCCAGCTGAAGAAAAAAACTATAAGAGTCAATTCTATAAGGAAATCGACAAAGAGGATTCATCCAGCCAGTTCTTAAAAGAAAGGACAGACGTTAACAAGATGTTTTTTCCCAAAAGTTCAAAAATAAAAGAATTAAAAGGAAAAAAAAAATTCACAGAAACAACTAAAGGACAGCGATCACAAGAAATTTATTCCATAAAATAACAGGCAAACAAGAGACTAAGGCACAAAGAAGCGAACAAATGCCTCTCACCACATCAGCTAAAACGACCACAAATTTGTGAGGTTCCATACTCCAATGACCACCACCACCAGCAATGAGGTTCTTGCAACTTAGATTGCATATGTTGACTTGGCTTTGCGATTCACAAGAAGTAAATTAAAACCCTTGCAAGTAGACGTTGAAGCATTTTAAGCAACAATGCTACTTCCTTCCATCTACTCCAAACAAGCCCAATTACACCTTTCAGGGTCACATATCTAACACTTTTATCTCCCTGACTTTTCAATAAATATATTTTCTTCTCATATTGATATTTTTCTCTTTTTTTCATATATATTTTTATTTGAAAACATTTCCTCTTCTTTTTTCTTTTCTCAACATTTTTTCCCATTCAACATGTTCCTCCATTACTTTTCATTTTGTTCTTTTTCTCCATGAAAATATTTGAATTTTCCCCCTCATTTTCTCAATTGTTTTCTCTTATTTCCTTTTCAAAATTTAGCATATACACATCATTTTCACTTTCTTTAAGTACAAGGCTATCTAAAACCAAAGTAGCTTTTGGTCCATCCTCAAATGCATTGTAACTATTCCAGCAATAACAGACAGGGAACTTGAGGAAAATTAACAACCCTGCGATCATAGTAAGACATTAAGGTCAAACCATGACTCTATTGTGAAGAAGCACCCATATCCAATACAAAGTCAGCAAGAAATGAATAGAAAATTAGTTTGAAGCCATTTAGTTGAGCCCAAGAAGAAGCAAAGGTAAAGAGAAATAAAATGCAGAACTCATGAGTAACTGTTACTATAGGTAGCTCTGAAAACATAACAAGGAGAAAAATGAGAGTCAAAAGGAGTTGAAGGAAAGATAGCTCATATAAATACATTATCTGGCTACTGGAAAAGGGATAACTCAAAAGGGATAAACAAAGGACAGAACAGTTAAAAGGTTATAAATGCAGGAAAAACAACCAAAGACTAAGAATAAAATAAATAAATAAATCACATTTATACCCTGCAGGCCAAACCATAGAAAATGTTGCATGGAGGAGAAGGGTGAAGAAGACAAATGAAGGGGAGGAGAAGTCCCTCTATTGATGATAACTGTGGGTTGGCATGCCCAATTATGTAATGACAAAGGCTTCCTAATTGCAACAGATCATGTAGGAAGAACAGTGGTGCATCCATTCCACATCCTTTTGAGTTTGCAGCTAAAGAAGAACATTTTTCAAAGAAAAAGTTAGGCACCAGCTCATGTATAAATTTTTATACGGATTTTGTTCTTCTACTCTTCTCTTTTGGGTTTTTTCAATCATCTAAATCTTAGAATATGGGAGTTTTAGTTGTCCCCACATCCTCCCTATGCCCCTGGAATTTCTCCCGCAAAGGTAATAACTTTAAAACACAAATCACTCTAATCGTGAAAATTCATATAAATGATAATAGATCTTGAAAACCTCAAGCAGACTTACCATGTATTGGATGATTTCTCAAGGTTTTTTTTTATGTCAGAACTCATTGCAAGCAAATAAAATCAGGGGAGACACTTGTAAACTTGTACCAAACAAAACAAAGCAATGATGCAATTCAGAAAACATGTACTCAATATCAATAGTGGGTTGGTAAACATAATAAGGACACGTATATGAAAGTTAAAAAATTAACCCACATGCTTAAACAAGCAAGATTACCAAAAAGATAGAACGAAAGTGAAACCCAACTTATTTTTAAGAAACATCAAAGCAGTTAATTATGGAAGAAAAGGCTCACCATGCAGATGCAGATGCTATTTCTACAAAGACAACATGTTACAAATTTTAAAGAAAAAAAAAAAAAGAACATTCTTTTTCTCACATTGCCAACAAAAACTGATCGTGAATCTGCTTCCTCTTTGCTCGCCTGATTAGCTGCTGCACTAGCAGGATCTGTGAGCAACATTTCAATTAAAATTTTAAGAAAGGGATAACTTTGAAGTTTTGGCTTTGATAAATGCATCAAATTCAACAAAAATAATGAAAATCCAGAGAACCAAAACCTATAAACCTAACATCATAACTTTAGAATAAGATTCAAATCATATAAAAATCTAACAAAAAAAAGACTAAAAACGAAAAAAGTGAAGAACCTTGAACAGCACCCATTTCCTTCTCGACCTTGGCCTGCATTTCGCGGAGAGCCGCCGCTTCATCTTCCATTTCCTTCAACCGTTTCTTCATCTCATCTAATTCCTACCACAATCAAATAATAATAATAATAATAACATTAATCAAAGGAAAGTCTTCAGTTAGGGTTTTAACTTTTTTTAAATAAAATTTTAACGTAATTTACCTTGACGGCATCGTCATCGGCGGCGGACATGTCGACCTCAGCGTTGTGAGGATCCAAGTCGCCTTCCATCTCTCCTTCGTCGGGGATATCTCCTCCGTACACCTCATGCTCCTCTTCCTCCATTTTCTTTCCTACCTTTTTTTTTTTCTTTTACCTTTCTCTGTTCGTTTATTCTTCTAGAAAGCTTCTCCCAGCTCATGCGATCAAAGCCGTACAATGATTGAAGATCAACGGTGGCCCTGGGTAATTGTACTTATGCTAAGAGGCTAAAGGCAACTCTCCGAGTTCCCCTTCAATTCTATGGGCTAGATAGTGTTATTCTTTAAAATTTTATCATTACCATTTTGAATTTTTTTTTCAGTTGAGATTTATGTAATTTTATTTAAATTAATTACACATTTGAGACTTAAATATTTGAACTTTGTTTTCTTAAATAACTTGCACTTAAGATTAATTTTGTGAGTCAAATGTATATTTAAGCCATGCAAACTTTATAATGACAGTACTTAAGAAAATAAATACTCATAAAAATAAAACTATAAAATTTTAATCCATGAATACTTTGTAATTAGAGCATTAAAAAAAAAAAAAAAAACTACTCCATTTATCCTATAAAATTTTTTTTTTCATATATTTAGTTGTTTCAAATTAATGTTGTCTTGGAAAATTTTAAAAAATATATAAATAATCATTCTTATTTTTTTTTCTTATTACTTGTGCTATAACCATTTTTTTATATAGTCAACCAATGACAAAATTCAAATAAAAATGCCTTCAAATTCATATAAAACTAAAATCTACGAAAATGATTACAATTTAAACTTTAATTAATAAGTTTGAAATTAAAATAGTAAAAAAAAAAAGGAGGAATACATCTAAAAAAATATAAACATATATACACATAAATGTTTTGTGATAGTATTTTAAAAAAATGTTAATATTACGAATAATTTTTAAATTAGAGGAAAATATTTAATATAATATTTAGATTTTAAAAAATTTTAATATAATACGTGAACGATAAATTTATTAGTTAGTATGATATTTGGTGAGTTACTTGTTCGTCACAATTCACATGTTATTAATTAAAATTAATCACGTTAAAAATAAATATTATATTAATTAATAGATTTATATTTTAAATATTATATTAAAAATTTTTAATTTAAATATCACATTAAATATTTCATAATTTAAAGTTTATTTATAACATTAACACTTTAAAAAATAAAGAAATGAGATGAATTTTTTAACAAGTTAAAAAGGCTAATGTAAAAAAATTTTAAAAATATACATGTTTATATAATGTTACATGTAAATAATCTTTCCTTTCAAAAAAAAAAAAAACACAAAAGATTTTCGCCGACCAATATTTTATAATGTATTCATTAAGCAACGTGGATGGATGTTTCGTGTTTCATTGTGGCAAAAGATAGGCTGAACTATTTGGAAACCAGATTGAGTTGAGATATTCCATGGCATCGGATGGGAACTAACGCATCTTGGAATCTTGTACTGCTTATAATTTTCCATTAATGAAAGTTGTAAATTGCTTGATTCGTTATCGGTACAAAAAACAGCGAGATGCGTGAGTTTCGGCTCCAATCACAGAACTTCTCGACCCAAGGATACTTCAGTTCTGAAACCACTTTAGCCCAGCTTGCTTGCTTTGGAGGATCATCACCCAGCTTGCAATTAATTCAGTTGCATGTGTGATGGAGGATCATGGATTGTGGATTGGTGCCTACTGCTTTAAAGAAACCAAAGCTAAGCAGTGTAAGGGTAAAATGTACCGTTAGTCACTCAATTATCACAGTATTTTTGAAATAGTTATTAAATTATTAAAATTTTTAATTTAGTTATTAAAATTTAAGTAATTATTTTTTATTATTCAACTATTAATCTTTGACATCATAATATTATATCGATTATCGGGTGTCATGTGCCATTAGAACATCACCTAACATGTTATATGGCATCATAAATTTTGAAAATTAAAAAATAAAAACAAATTAAATTTCACTTCAATCATTTAACTTTTTAAAAAATTTTATTTGATCACTCAATTTTGAAATTTTATAATATGATTATTAACAAATAAATTCTCAAATTTTATAAAAAATAAAAATAAGCAATTGGTAGTTTTATTACATGGAATTAAATTATAAATTTTTACTTTATTATAATTGTACCATTTAAATTTAAAAAATGAATGAATATTATCTATTTACAAAAATTATTAAAATAAATTCAAATAAGTATTTCGTATATCAAGGTTTTAATTATAATAAAAATTCATAATTTTAATTTTTTGTAATAAAAAATTAAAAGAAATATAGATAAAATAATTTATTATATTAAATTTCATAAACATTGGTGATCAAATTATTACAAATCTATAATGACAATGAGTCGTTAACAATAAAGATCAAAATACTAATAAATTTCATAAATGTTAATGATCAAAATATTAATAAATTTCATAATTCATAATGTCAAAATTTAATTACAAACAAATTTCTATTATCTATATTTCATTTAATATTTTATCATATAAAATTAAATATATGAATTTTTATTGTAATTAGAATCTTGATATTATGATATATGAAATACTTGAATTTCTTTAAATAAACTGAATAAAAAAGATTTAAAGTAATGATATTTTAATAATTTTGGCAATAAGATAATATTCATTTATTTTTTAAATTTAAATGATAAAGTTATAATAAAAAAATTATAATTAAATTCTATGCAATAAAAATATAAAATTTTTATTTCTATTTTTGTATAAAACTTGAAAACTTATATATTATTAATTAAATTATAAATTTTCAAAATTAAATGGTCAAAATATAAATTCTTAAAAAATTAAGTGATTGAAGTAAAATTCATCTTTATTTTTTAATTTTCAAAATTTTCAAAATAATTTATGATGCCGAGTGATATATCAATTAATGTAACAATATTATGTGATACTTGATAACTAACGTAATTTTATTATGTCAGCACGTCATTAGAAATTAATGATTAAATGATAAAAATATTTATTTAAATTTTAATAATTTATTAACTATTTAAAAAATATGAACATATTTAAGTGATTAATAATATATTTTATTCTGAGTATAATAAATGAATAAACATTTTCTAAAGAAAATCTGTCACTAGTCAGATTTATGCCGCTTTGCGATATTAAATTTAATGGAAAAAAAAAATACTCGTAAACAATTGAAGTTCTGTGTAGAACAATAGAATTTTGGGTTTTTGTTCAAAATTCTTTTAGACCGAGCGAACAAATTTAGACTAAATGTGGCCTAGCTAGTTTTAACACAATTGAAATGGTTGTTGATTTTTTATTATATATATATATATATATATATATTGAAACTTGAAAATATCATTAAATGGCAGCTCAGTTAATTAAAGTGTCGTGCTAAATTCCTAATAACATCAAAGTTGCAGGATTGAAATCCTTTTTATGTTGAGCCATGACTTAGGAGCTTTTTTGAAAATATAAAAAAAAAGAGCGATTAAAAAGAAAAGTAGAATGTATTTTTTATGTTTGTATTTTGACGCATGAATTAAAAAGAGAGGTTGAAAATGAAGAAAGAAGTAGAAATAGGAAGTTGAATGAACTTGCCTTAATGGTGTTTAGACTATCATATTTATGGGTAAGTTGTAGGAACCATCATGGTACAATAAAGATAATGTTGGACTGATGTGGTACTAGGCATATTAAATCGACTTGACATATCAAGTTAACATAAATGATAGAAATATCCATGGTTGTTTTCTAAAGGATTTTAAAAGGAAAAAAGATCATTATATCATTTGACCATCAAATGCATTTAACACTTTATCTCCATACCAAGTAGTTTGAATATCAAATTACTAAATGTATGATCGATGCCTTCAGTGTAGGGTAGATTGGCTAAAAACAATAACCTAAAAGTTCAATTCTTCGAAACCAACGTTATAAAAGGAGGTCAGTGTTAGGAGATGACTAAACTTGAGCTGTCATTTGATTTTGTGGTTGTCTGATCTCGTGCACACGTCTTGGGTTAAGTGCGTAGCTAGTTTAAAGGTTGTTGAAGTGATAATTGTTCAAAATAATTCAAGTTTAGTGCTGGAGTTCGTATGGTCATCGTCAAACTTGTATTTTATTTCAAAAGCTTTGATTTGAGCTTCTACTTTAAACTATGATGGTGAACCGGGCTCTCAGTTTATCCTAAAAATGTCATTCGGTTTAGCCTATCCAACTGAAATTCTTTTAGTTAGACCGATTTGACAATATTAAATGAGAAGAGACATAGTCTATGCGGGAAAATTAAAAAAAAAAAACAAAAATATGTTTTTCCCACCTTTGCTTCAACACGTGGGGTTGGTTTACAGTTCATCTGATATGCAGGGCATTTATATGAAGAGCCGTTAGGGCTTTTTTTTTATTGGGGTTTTTAACCTTATGTCATCTCCCTCTTGGAGGAGGATCATAGAAATCTTTACTTTTTTTACAAACAAAAAATGGGGATAAGCCTCTCTTACTTTGGTTAGTTTTATTGTAGCTTTAGCTTTGATGAATTTCTTGACTATTAGTATGACGTTGACCAGAGTTTAAAGTAGTTATAGCGACAACGTTAATTTTAGGTGATACTTTTTGTTATGGAGTCCACTTGTCAGGGGTGGTTATAGTCACTGTTTGTTCTGGGTATTTAATTTTGAGAGCTTTTGCATTAAAACGTGTGACATAACACTTCGAAGTTTCATTTTTGACATAGCACTTCCAAGTTTCATTCCATCATTGGTGGATTGATATCAAACTTAGAGTCATCTTTTTCGCTCTTCGACTACTCACAAATTTGGACAGAAAAGAGTGGTTGGATAGAAAAGAGTGGTTGAGCTCTTTGAACATCGTGATTGACCTCGGTTTCAGGCTATTGTACCAAAAACGAGTTGCACCTTTCATTGTAGTAGCTACGGCTTTGCACATTAGAGCCTTATTTGCCTCCTGCATCATTATGTTAATTCTATAAAGTTTTAAATAATCAAATGGGTCAGAAGTACCATCATATGTTTATAAAGTCGGCATTTTAAACCTTTTCAGAGGTATGGCTCTGTTGATTTCTTCAGTGAATGGCGAGATCTCTAAAAATTTGAACTCATCCTCAAAAGCTACTACTTTCGTTTTTAGCTCTTTTTTCATAGCCTATATATGAGTTTTTAATTCTCTGTTTGATTAGGGTTTAGGGTTCGTTTGTTTGGATTATTGGGTCATGGTCTTTGTTGAATTATGGCTAGGGTAATGGTGGGCTGAGGTTGCGTGCTCCCCTTCTTTGGAGGTCAAAGAGGCTTCCACCTCTTTGTAGCTCGATTGTCTAACAGTGATTCCTCGACCAGAGGTGATTAAGTCAGATACTTTTGAAACTTGGGATGAGATTATAGTTTGTAACATATGCTTGAGAGCCTATATCTATTTGGTCAAGTCTTGGAATTGTTTCATGGTTAGGCTTACCTGGTTAGGCAATCGAGCAAAATGATGGCTATGATGGATTTCTGTTATAGCTAGGATGACTATATCTTCTTTCTCTAAAGTTCTCTTCTTTGGTGGTATTATTTTATACTCAGCTAATAAAAGAAAAGATCCCTTACATAGTGCACCAAATATTTGTGCTGAGCTTCGACTTTGGGGTGTTCTTGGAAAGATAAAAGAGTAGAGTGGTTAGAGGCAAAGTTAGGATATGTTCCTTAAATTAGCATTTCGACGCACAAGTCAAAGAGAATGAGGTCAGAAAGGAAGTAAGAAGGAGAGAAAATGAGTTGAATAAACTTGTCTTAATGATTCTTGAGGTTTTTATAGTTATAGGTAAATTGTAAAGGATCGTCAAAGATAATAAAAATAATGTCGAACTTATGTAGCATTGAACATATTAGATCGACTTAACATATTAAATTGAAATAGATAATAAAAATATCTTTGATTGTTTATTGAAAATTTTTTAAAAAAAAATTTATACTTTTTTGACTACCAAATACCTGAACAAAACTTTTTTAGGTCATATTAATCTATTTTATATTTTTAATTTCTGAAGAAAAATCATTTTAACTAAATTTCGGTAATGGGGGTGGGTTACTTTGACAATGACTTGATGAGTGCATGCAACGTTACCCTTGCAAAAATCAAAATCAGTCTTCGTAAGATCAAAATCATCGAGAAGTGACGACAGAAATGATAGCGGTTGTTAAACGAAGAAGGTGGGAGAAGAAAATTTTAAAGAAAGGGAAGCAAAGAGACAAGACAACTCACCAGAAACATACAGACAACACAGCACATTCCCACGCCACTGACCCCACATCAAACCTTCATTCAGCGTAAAGCCTCGCCATTTAACTTTCTTTGTTACCGTTAATACCAATTATATTATTAGTTATTTCTACTGCCATTTTCAGTTGTCACCCAATTATCTTCCATCTCCTACTCCGCCTCCGCACCTTACACCCAAACCCCTCACCCAATCTCTTTACGCCACATCATCATCTCATCCAAGGTGAACTTCAAACTAATTTTTTTTAATTTTTATAATTTATACTTGTATTTTATATTAAACTACACCAAAACAGGACAATTTTTTTTTTTTTTACAAACAAAGTCTCAATTTTACAGATAAAAAATTTTAAATGTTAAAATTTTAAATTTAAAATTGATCAAATGTCATTTGAAATTAACTTACTTTTACTATAAAACAAATTACAAAAATTTCACGTTGGTTTTTTAAAAGGGTTGGGCATAAGAAAGATGAAAAAAATAATTCAAACTAAAATAATGGATATTTTATTTTAGTAATTATTGACTTGCCATTACTAAGATTAACGCCATTGGGGCATAATGTAAGTTTCCTAAATTAGAGTCTTTGTGTCGGCTAGGATTAAATTTTATAGACTTTGGTGTAGTTTACTCTTTATTTTATCACCTTTTTTTTTTATCCATTTTATGTTTTTATCAAAGGTACAATATTAGGAACAAGATTTTTAACCTAATTTTCATTGCCTTAAAGGAAAAAAAAAAACTGTATAATTAGATTTGATAAATTTAATATCCATGTCATGTATATTTTATATAAAAATGTATAAATTAAAAAAATTATCATATTAAATTTGCATCCACACATCAAAAATAAAATATATTTATAATATTACTAAATTCATATATAATTTTTATTAAATTTTAAATAGTATTAGTTTTATTTTTATTATTATTTTCATATAAAATCACCATAATATGTTTAAAAGTATTAAATCTACTGTTACTAGTCATAAAGTACACTTTATATATATATATATATATTCATAAACAAAATAGTCAAACACATTTAGCAAGTAATTTACTTATAATTAGTAACAAACGTAAGCTACGCATTGGATTACCATTCCTCTTTACTCTAAACCCTGATCCACTCAATCCCTCCTTTCACTCGTAAAATGACAAAATATTTTTTCTTCCCATCAATGATTTATACTTCCCTTGGCATTTACAGAACCAAGTTTCTCAACTTTACCAATTAAACCCGCCCACTGCTCTCTCGCTTCTCTATATTTCAGGGGGAGAAACAAATCAAAACAAAGCCAAGTGAAAAAAACAAAGCTGTCGACAAAAAGACTAGAACTATAAAGAAAAACAAGAGAAAAATGGCTAGTGGAGGAGGGTATGGAGACCCAAGCCAGAAGATTGACTATGTATTCAAGGTAGTTTTGATCGGTGACTCTGCTGTGGGTAAGTCTCAGATTCTTGCCCGTTTTGCTAGAAACGAATTTAGTTTAGATTCCAAGGCCACCATCGGGGTTGAGTTTCAGACTAGAACTCTTGTTATTGAACACAAGAGTGTTAAGGCACAGATCTGGGACACTGCTGGTCAAGAACGGTACTTCCTTTTTACTTCTATTACTAGTACTATGCTTTTTAACTTTTCATGCAAAAAGATTTGTTTTTTCTTTTTTTTTTTTTCTTGGTGAAGGCTTTTTGAGTTTTTCATTTTATGTGCATGTACTTCTTTTCTTGTTCTTTTTTGGATCTGTAGTTTGAAGGCAGAATTATGAGCATTCAAAATAACTGTTTAAAAATGAAACCCCAATATCAGAATTTGAAAATGGTCGTAGTAATATTTTGTTTGACAATATTTACTGTAGATCATGATTATTTTTAGATGTCTACATAGTTGGGTGGTGAAAGGTATTTCAATCAGGATTGGATTTTTGATGGATGAATTGTATAGTTACTGTTGATCTTATATATTGCTTTGAACTTAATGATGAGATTGATAAAAATTTACATGGTGCTTGATTACAATTTGAACCTCAGTTGAATCTTAATCCATTGTTGGTGTTATCTTTTCTGCATAGATGATATAGCTTGGTCCAAAACATTGTATTCTATGAGATGCTTGATCTCGTCACTTTGCATCAAATCTTGGCCTAGAAATTGAAATAATGTGCTTGTGGTAGCGTGTTCGTTTGCAAATGGTTCTGTATTAAGTAAGCATGCATGCTGGTAAGCTGGTCTCATCCATGGCACTTGTTATTAGGATATGAGAATTTGCTTGCCTTGTCTTATCCTGGTTTGATATCTGGCCATCTATGTTGACAAATACTATTTACTTATCTTAGTAACACTTAAAGTTCTGTTTTAGGAGCAGTTAGTGATCTTGCTTATTCTTGTATGCTGCATTGAACAGATACAGAGCTGTTACAAGTGCATACTACAGGGGTGCTGTTGGGGCAATGCTGGTTTACGATATAACGAAACACCAGACCTTCGATCACATTCCACGTTGGCTGGAAGAGTTGCGTGGCCATGCTGACAAGAACATTGTTATTATTCTGATTGGGAACAAAAGTGACCTTGAAAACCAGCGAGCGGTTCCAACGGAGGATGCCAAAGAATTTGCTCAAAAGGAAGGACTGTTTTTCTTGGAGACCTCAGCTCTTGAAGCTACTAATGTTGAGACTGCCTTCTTAACTGTTCTTACAGAGATTTTCAGCATTGTGAACAAGAAGAACCTAGTTGCTGGTGATAATCAAGGGAATGGCAACCCTGCATCATTAGCAGGCAAGAAGATCCTCGTTCCAGGTCCCGCTCAAGAAATTCCAGCAAAGAGCAACATGTGCTGTAGATCATGATTGAATTGGATTTGTCTCCTAGTGTCAGTTTACTTCTTTTACATTCTTAATAGCAAATTTTGGAGGTGTGGTATATCTGTTTGTATATTTACATTGCATTAGTTTAGTTTCCAAGGGTAGCTAATTAATTGCATGTTTTGAGATGGGAAATAGAAAACCAAAATTTGAAGCTGAGTTGCAGATTGCTTCAATGTTCTTCCTTAAAGTTATATGTTTTATCCATTTATCCTGGTTAAAGTTACTTTGTCCTTATATCCTGTTGTTTCTTTTATAAATAATCGGATTTTGCAGCACCATGTATTTGTATGAATAATTGAAAGCCCAGGTCTGTGGAACTGCCAGGGCCAGAAGCAGGTCTGTGATTCGTGAACAAAGCTGAATTTTATCAGCATCCAATCTAACCTTGCCTCTCCTTTATAATAAATGGGAAAATGATTCTAGTCTGTAGTGCTTGATAATTGTCATGAAAAAGATGATCGCTTACACATCATTCCTCTTTTTCCAAAAATTTGGCGATGTTAACCTTTATTTGTTCATGTAACAACAGCAAGAATTAACTTCACTAACCAGCAATGTTGAATTAACATGGTAGATTTCGAAACATTCGAAATGCCTTAACAAAATTGCGCTTGAGTATTCCATCAGTACAAACTGACAACGTTCATTAAATGAACCAGTTATTTTTGAAACTGTAATGTTCCATTATACCTATGGTGACAATAATTAGACCTTCAAACTGTTCAAAAATACATATGGGATCTCTAAACAGTCAACTTTTTAATGTTTAACCCAGCAGTCGGCACTTAAGACCTTCAAATTGCTTACTGTTTCATCTATCAATCGGCACTTCAATGTTTGGTTTCCTATTCAGTATGACTCGTTTCTGCCATTCCGTGGTTGCTGTCATGCTGGAAAAAGCAGGGGTTTCAGCAGGTTTTACCTATTGGATTTGAACTAATAACTCCAGCCGTATGAAAGCGAATATCCTGTATTTTCTCTGGCCTCAACATTGTGTTCCTACATTTAGGTTCCGTTTTCACCAATCATGTGCTGTTTTTCAATTAGCTCACCATGGTTTTTTCTTGTTCCAAAGTTCTCTTTTCAGTCTCAATGCGTGCTGAAAGCCTTTCAAGCAGTTCCTGGCGGTCAATTGCTGTAACCATCACACTCAAACTTGCCCTACCCTTCCAGCAGCCAATGGCTATTGTTGATGTGTCTGCTTGGATATGATCTGATAAGGATTTGACACCTGCCAAAAATGGTTAGTATGGAATCATGTACACCAATCATTCTGACAGGCATGGCAGATCAAAAGAAATTACTTACCATCTCTAAAACATTCACACAGCAGCCTAACATCAGGTTTGCTGCCTTCTGACCGAACTCAGCATAGACAAAGTCTGCAAATTTGATTGTTTTATATTGCAAAAGATGATTGAAATCTGCTGGGGAAGCATAAAGGTTTTGCTTGGTAATATATGGGAGAATCACTGGCAGCCCTTCTGATGATGTCCTGAATAAACATTGTGCAGAGGAACCTTCTCTAGATGATTGTCGCTCCTATTTTTAGAACAGAATCAAATAAAATAAGAAAAGGAATCATAGTTGATTCAAAAGCAAAGGAGGCTACATAAATTCTGATTAAATGAAATTTTTGAATGGCAAAATAAATTTATAATTTGTCTTATCCAAAAAAAAAAGGTTAGTAATTTGTCCTTTTCTTAGTCTTATATTCAATCTAGCACAAAGACATCAAAGGGCAAAAGGATAATCTACGAGATGGAAGACAATATAACCTTGTTTCTAGAGGTAAAAAGCGCACAACAGGCTTTGAATACGAGAACATAAATATACTCACAAATATCTTCAGGCCAACGGAAGTTATCTTTAGTTGCTGTCCAACTTGAAAATTCAGTTCCAAAACATCCTTAACTGACTTTGAAACATAATAAAATCTCTTCACATGGTTAGCTTCGTTGTTTCTTGTAACAAGGTGACCACTGAAAGGGAAGTGATTCATCAATACCATAAAATGTCTTAATGCTGTTTATTATAGCTTCATCTGAAGAAAAGAACTGGATCAACGCCTCTCCACTTGCCCTGAATCTGCAATTTTCTCTTCTCTCCAGCTTTTGCAGAATCAATTTTCTTACCAGTGGCTTGAGCTGCCTCAGAAGAATTTGTCTCCGGAGCAACTCCATCTGGTCCACCATCAACCAAATCAGCCTCTAAAGCCACTTCTGAGATCTTTTCGTCTGCCTCTGAAGCTACTTCCAAGATCTTTTCATCTGTCCCATCTGCAGAACTACCTTCTAATCCATTTCTTTCTTCAGTAGCTTGGTCTGACAATTTTCATACAGTTCATTTCTAGTTGACAAATTCCCTTGTGAACTAACAGACTTGTCCTGAATTGCTGCAGCAAATATTAGGAAAACAAGTTGTAAATGCCTGATGAGGTAAGGAACACGAAAGAGTAGGGACAGGGAATAAAAATCAATAGTTTTCACAATGGAATCAACAAATAGCATATCTGAATCCAGGAAGAGATGCAGCATCTTAGAAATAGCATATAAATTTTATGGCCCGTTGTAAACCATCCATAACCATGAAAAGAAGGGGATAATTTTGATTTACAACCATGAAAAGAAGGGTAATTTTGATTTACCTGGCAAATGAGAAACTTTGTGGAGGAAAGCAATGAAAAAGGCTCCTGTGTTCTGAATATGAGGCATTATCCTTATGCAGCATTCTAGTGGGAGATCAGAAACTTCTTCCTCCAAATTACCAGTAGAAGAAACAGGATCATCAGGCTGAGCTCCATCTTTAGAATTTACGTTCTCACCATTCTCATTCTTTTGGCTATTATCAGTTAGATCCACATAACTTTTGCCAGAAGGGAACATGCTGGGAACAATCCCATTTCCGCGGAACTTGTGAGCATCCTTGTATGATGCTAACCAGACTCCCTTATCACGTACCTGAGTGACATAGTAAAAACTTGACATCACATGAAAAGAAAATGAAATGTTGAAAGGCAAGGTCTTTATGCAAGTATTATATATTGTTATTAGTTGGTAGTTACATTATATTGGTTTGATGTAGGTCGGGAGATCTATTTTGCAAGTCTATACAAGGTTGAGAGTACATATCAAACATAAACAACCTGATTCTGTATCAAATGAAACCAACAATCGCCATTGATTACCTAGGGAATACATATGACACATTTTGTTCAGACGTCAAGCACCATATATCAAGCTGGTTTGCATCCTAGATGCACAATGAAATGCATATGCGCACAGCAAAGCACAGAAAATTTTGCAAAATCAGAACTTCTACCTGTATAAGAATAACATGACAAAATTTCAGTAGAATGGAATACCCAAGAATGGATTTGGTGAGCATGGTAACTAACCTTCCATTTTCTTAGACCTGGGCGGCGAATTAATTGAGGCAGCTCACCTGAGACATCAACCAGTTCAACAGACCCCCCGCAACTCCGTAAAATCTAAAGCAAATAGGTCATGAAGATCAAAAGGGGAAAAAGTGAAAATGTTCAAACAGGATTGCAAAACCCAGCCACATTAAAACAAGAGGAAAGGGTAAGATGAAGAAACTAAAGAACAAAATTTCATATATCTTAACAACAAAAAATAGCTGCAAAGTATAGGAGTAACTACTCAGACAAGGGTTGCAGTCAAAACTTCAAAACAAAATGAAACATACAATTAAAATTTAAAATTTCTCTACTAAAATATTTTAGTTTAAATACATAAACCATAAAAACAAATTTTCAGAATGGAACATCTTATCAGCTACCAGAACTGAACAACTAATTCATGCTCCATAGCACTAACCAGTTCATACATGTTAATCTTTTAGCGTACTGGCACAACATTATTAATATAACTTCCCATCAAAGATTCACCTAGGAGGGTTGAATTATCTACGTTCATCAGCTTTCAAATTTATATGTGACAACTAGAAGCATCTTTCATATAATTGTCTGGCTCATAAATGGTTGGTTACCTTAAATAAAATTAGGATCCTTCTTGGGCCTTCAACTTTCATTTTGATGCAGCTCCAGTGCATTATATTTTAATGGGTGTTATTCTTTTCCTAAGAGGAGACGATATTCAATCTCTGATGCAATTAACATCACTATATACTAAATTATTGACTCAGAAAATAAAGAGATAAATGCACCTTTTTTTATATAGAACAAATGTACCAAGTTAAACAAAAAGGACAACTAGATATTCTGAAGGACACAGATGGGCCATAACCAGCAAAGATTAGCAATACAAAGTAAAAGGAACACTTAATAAGAGAGATTTTAGTTATTTTGATTTAGTACATTTCTCTCTCAGGTAGTACACATTACCTCAGCAACCACTACTTCATTTTCAACTGGATTCATTGAGCAGGTTGAGTAAACCATTCTTCCACCAACTTTTAACAGAGACAGACCTGTCACAATGCAGCACTTTAGAGTCTGCAACATCCACTTAATTGAAAATCCAAGGTCTTCAATAATTGATACCTCGCATGGCAATGTGAATCTGTAGGCAATGAAGTCCATTGTCCATTCCTCCGTTCCTGTATAAATGCACATAAATCTGATCAAATGAAATGTGATATTAACAAGTGAAGGGAATGGGAAAGAAGGGAAGGTAAGAGCAAGAGAACACAAACCATCTACGCCAGATATCAGGAGCCTTGCGAAGAGAGCCATCGGCACTGCAGGGAACATCACATAATACGCGGTCAAAGAGAAGTTGAGTAATACTTTGGTCCAATTTAGTTGTTGTTTCTGAAGCATTTGAGATATTTTTGTAGGAACGGCAGCCAGGGAAGTGTTGACCTTCATGATTAGTGACTTTTAGGTAGCAGTGCACATTCTTTTTGTTTGGTGGATGAGAAGGTTACATCGCTGTACATTGAGATCATTTGATAGAACCTAAAGAAAAAGACAATGAATAATTAATTCTTCATATATAATAAATCTGTTAGAGTTATTATCAGAGCAGGCCAAAAAGCTACTCGAACAAATCAACAAGTATGTAAAAATCTAACAATTCATAAATTATAGATCATTGTAAAGTGAAGATGGACAAGACCAAGTAAAACCTAAAGTTAAGAGACAAAGAAATAATAGAAGCAAACAAACCATGCCATCAGGTAGAGATCCTCCTTTGGCTGAATGGTGTATATTCTTAAGCAACTGAAAAGTTTTTGAACCAGGTGCTGCACACACTACATAAGCGATTACATGGAAATAGTAACTGTAT